GCCTTGGTGAAGTCGAGATAGACGACATCCACCGCTCTCCCCTCGTCTATCCAGCCGGTCATTTCATCATAGAAGGCTATCAGGTTAGTCAGGCAAGATTTCCCCTTGGTGAATCCATGCTGACTACTCTTGAGCACCTTCTTGTCCTCCATGTGCTTGGAGACAATGGCCAGCATGAGCCGTTCCATCACTTTTCCGGGGATGGAGGTGAGGCTCACTGGCCCGTAGTTGCCTGGGTCCTCCTTCTTGCCTTTTTTGAAGACTGGCTTTTTTGAAGATGCTCAAGTCTCTTAACCATCTTCGCGGCTCTACGCTGGACCATCTCTAGAAGCTCCACATCCCTCTTGACCTGGGGAGTCCAGACCTGCACCCAATACTCCAGGTGCGGCCTCACCAGAGCTGAGCAGAGGGGCAGGATCCCCTTCCCTCCACCTGCTGGCAACGCTCCTCCTCATACACGCCAGGATCCCATTGGCCTTCTTGGCCACAAGGGCACATTGCTGCCTCATCATTAACCTGCTGTCTATCAGGACTCCCAAATCCCTCTCTGCAGAGCTGCTTTCCAGCAGGTAAACCCCTAATCTGTCCTGGTGCCTGGGATTATTCCTCCTCACGTGCAGGACCCTGCACTTGTCCTTGTTGAACCTCCCGAGGTTCCTCTCTGCCCAACTCTCCATCCTGTCTAGGTCCCTCTGAATGGCAGTACAGCCCTTGGTAGTGTCGGCCACTCCTCCCAGTTTGGTCTCATCTGCAAATTGCTGAGGGAGCACTCTGTGCCCTCGTCCAAGTCATTAATGAACAAGTTGAACAGCACCCAGGCCAGTGCTGACCCTGGCAGGACACCACTGGCCACAGGCCTCCAACTAGACTTGGCCCTATTTATCATGATTCTCTGGACTCTGCCATCCAACCAGTCCTCAGTCCATCTCACTGCCCACTCATCTAACCCACACTTCCTGCGCTTGCCCACAAGTATGTTATGGGAGATGGTGTTGAAAGCCTTGCTGAAGTCAAGGTAGAGAACATCCACTGATATCTGCTCATCTACCCATCTAGTCACCCCATCATGAAAGGCTATCAGGTTTGCCAAATGTGACTTCCCGTTGGTGAATCCATGCTGACTACTCCTCATCACCTTCTTTTTCGCCACATGCCTAGAAATTGGCCTCAGGATGAGCTGCTCCATCACCTTTCCAGGGAGGGAGGTGAGGCTGACCAGCCTGCAGTTTCCCAGTTCCTCCCTCCTGCCCCTTTTGCGTGGAGTGACATCGGCTTCTTCCAGTCCTTGAGCACCTTCCCTGCTCTCCATGTCCCCTAAGGATCGTGCGAAGTGGCTGACCCCCCATCAGTTCCCTCAGCACTCGCAGGTACGGCTTACTGGGGTGCAGCAAGTACTTTTCATTCCAAGTATTATGGCACTGCGTAGTTTCTCAGCTCTTAATTGCAACTAGATTACGTACAAATTTAAGATTATACACGTGAATAAATGCTTTGCTAGATCAAAAATTTTAAAAGCTGCAAAAGACAAAATAAAGTCTTTTTTACAGTTACAAACAATAATGTGTAGACATAGAGGCTGCAACACAAAATACATGGCTCATGAACCACGTTATAACATTGCACTCTGACCTCAAAAGCTTAACTGCTGACTGAAATGTCCCACCCATGACTTCCTCCAAAAATGCCACAATTTCTTTGATGTTTTCAACTTCCTTCAGCTCTATTTCCCCAAGAAATAAACTCTAACTCTTTCCAGTCATTTTGCATCTACCACTCACCACGTCTTGCTGTGGTAATCCTCTCTCTTCTAACAACAACCTCCTGTCAAAAATTCATCTTTTTTCTACATCTAAACTAAATTTAATACAAATACTGGAAGTCTTTTAAATCAGCCATGAAATCATCACTTGAAAATTAATTAAATTAGTTTTCTAATAGATTAATTGATCTGAAAACCTGATGGGTCAAGTAAATCTCTCAAAGCGAGTCTCAAAAGAACTCCATAGCTTTTTTTGTTGTTGTTTATTCGTTTGCTGGGGGTAGGGAGGGCGGGGATTGTTTGATGATTTATTTAAAGAGAGAATTGGAAGCAAGTGAGTAAACCAGCAGAAGACCTCTAAACCAAAAGGACCAACTGTTCTAGAGATCTGAAAAGTCAATTTTATTGGTATCTGAGCACAATAACTTTAGGCCGCACAAATGGCTCCCACCTCATTGAGGAAGAGACTTTTATCACAAATTAAAGCCGAGAATGTGCCTCTATGTATAAATACATATGTATAAATACACACAATCCAGTAGACCAAACTCTATTCCTAACCACAGTATTTTCCCTATACATCAGATGTTTGGTTAAAATCTCCTTTGAACAAAACTGTCCAGGAAGAAAGTTTGCAAACACGGATCTACAT